TTATGTGAATACACTCCAGTGCAGACATTTTGACACTCCGTGTTTTGACCGTTTTAGGCGCGCCACCAAAGACGTCTATGCTTCTCCGTGTTCCACTCGGACCTCGCGCGCAGAAAACATGCAGTCAGAAGCGGATTAAGTTCCGTTTCGCGGCTTTTAGTTTTTAATACTGTCTGCCTTCGTTCCTTTATTAATAACGCTAACAGTCCCACCTGCTGAAAGCTGCGCGGAAAAAGTGAAAGTAACCGGCTAAACATTTAATACTGGCTCTTGGCACAGGAAAACACCATCTTCTATAAAAAGATCTGGCGAGCCACAAGATTTTTGTCAAAGCCATAGGTTCCCGACCCCTGTAGTGAAGATAATCAGAGTATATGTGCACATATTACCTAAACCACATATTAAAGTTTTATATTTTTAAAATGAAAACGAAATGGGTTGTGTTTTATATTTTGAAGAAAACGACAAGGCAGTGGGAGCTTGATATCATTTCGTTTTATTGTAATGCGTGTACTCGTTGCATGAACCACATATTTGTGAGCCTATATTTTAAATGGAATTGAAAAGAGGCAATGCTGTTTGATATAATATTTCGTTTCACTGTAATGGATGTCGTTCCCTCAACATAGCATCTCGAGGCCATGACATAACCCAGCAAAAATTTGTACGTTTAATGACCGTCGAAAATACGTCCCTCCGTCACGTCCCGTCATGGTTGAAAAATAGTTCCAAAATGAAAGTTGAACGGACGTCTTTGACGTCATCTGGCCGTAAATTCCACGTCTTTTCTGCGCGTTCCTGGACGTCTAAATGTGTCATCATCTGGATGTGTATAAGATGTGTTGCTGCATAATTTAAGTATAAGCCTGCATATAAAATAATCACACACCCATTGTGCAACATCGTGAAAGGCACATCTGAACTTGACAAATGTTCTAAAAAGGTCCAAAATCGGTCCAGTCAGACCTGAACGTCTATAAAACGTTTTAATCACGTGTATCACTAACAATAACACATTTGTGGACTAAAATAAAAAGAATTGTGTTCTAATTTAGCACAACATATTTTATTGTGAATACTACTTTTTTTTTTTTTTTTTAAATGTAGCCTATTCCATTTGTTAAACAGCTACTATTCAAACAAGAAAATAAAAATAGTAGAATGTGGTTGAGTCTGAGGCAATGGCATTTTCTCTAAAAAATTTTTACATTAATGTTAAGCAGCCATTAATCAAACAAGAAAATAACAAAAGTACGGGAGCACAGTGAATACATATGTAACTATTTTTAGAGTCTT